TTTTAAAATATTTTAAAATTTAATATATTTCTCTTTATTTTTATTTATTTATTTATTTTTTTTAATAATTAATTCTCACATGAAAATGATTGCGTACGCGCATTTACTTCTTTAATAATTGCACAGCGTAACATTACAGTTTAATTTATCGTATGTTATTTAATATTTCACTTATATACTTTTTCATGCATATATACATATATACGTGTGTATGTGTCCGTCTGTCATACATATTCATATATACAAGTTAAGTGTTGTTTGCGATAAAGTCTCACGCACCACGTCCACGTCCACAACACAACAATTGCGGACACAAGCTCAAGCTCAACTAAACGCCGCACGACAGATTCTTTTCGCTTTTATTGTGATTGTTTTTTGCATTTTACGTCTCTTATATGCTCTCTATTTCGCCTCTTTCGCTCTTTTAAAAAATTCATTTTCATTTATGTATTTTACCCAGTGGATTATAGCGCTATTAAGTACATGGCATAATATTTTCTTTCTCTCATATAAAAAAAAATCTATATAATATATCATAAATGATTTGACGTTAATTAATGTTTTTTTTTTTTTTTTTTTTGTTACGTATGACGAAAAATACAATTTAGAAATGAAAACGGTTTAATAATTTCATTTTATTATGTTTGAGCATAACTGTTGTTTACTTGCAGTATCATTGCATTTTCATTACTCACACTATGCTGCTATCTTCGTCATTTGTTTAAAATGCTAAATTTTAAAGATTCTTAAGATGATTTTTTTGCCAACGCTAGCAAATTTAGTTCCCTCGTCATCATAATAATATTTTGTTTGAACTGAACCTAGAATAAGTGAGAGTAGAGAGACAGAGAGAGCGGGTATCGATGTAAGAATTTTGAATAAACAAAAAACATATGATTTTGACATTTAGGACGTAAGCTATATATCTTTGTTTGTTTACATAAAAAAAGGAAAGAAAGAACGACAAACTTAAAGGACAGTGCCTGAAAACAAATTATTCCCATCATTCTGCTTGCTGTAATGTGCTCTCTTGAATTTTTAGGATTTTCGATTTTTATAACCATAATCATTTTATCAAAACATTTGCAATAATCAGAAAGAAGTTGCGTTAGCACTATACGATATCTCTCTCTTCTGCGATTCAGCAAATCAAGAACAGATGATTTAGAGTGTTGAGTAAAAAAAGGTCAATGTGAAAAAATATATATAATACATTCTCGATTAGTTTCAAAATATAAATCAATTGAGGCCTGTCCTTGCTTCGAATTGAATTTACGAAACATTACGATATCGACTGCAAATTTGCCAAACCTATTTGAAGTACTTTTATGTTGGTTCGTATTAAAAACGTATCAAATTGATCAAAGGACATATCAACAATGCAACATAAACTGAATACGCAACCAATGCAATAATTCACAGGGAATGTTTTCTATGCGCATACTTTTTCGGCGGTCGCAAAGAGGTAGAGTGAAATGGAGAGAATGGAATCGCCTGACAGGTGTGCCCTCGATCGTTACCTGCTCTGCATTCAGCATCGACACCATACTCTACACCACTTGTTGTACAGGATATACCAAGTTAGCGCGGACGTGTGTAACACCTAGAAGGGCTTAAGACAGATCCATCGATTGAGAATCGAGCTAAGCCTGCCTATCCATCCGATGACTATCCATATAAATTTGTGTTCAAGTTACGGGTCGTAATTTTTGAGATATTTTGATGAAATTTGGTACCCTGATGTGCTTTGAGCCAAGGGCGAATGCTGTTAAAAGTGATTCGGATCGGTTCACTTTGTCGACCACTCCCCATATAATGCCCTATTCTGGAAAGTGATTATAAGAAAAAACTTTGCAAATTGGTGTGAAATTTTATGAACGCCCTCCCATATAACCGTTCCTGCGAAAATTGATACTTTATGTGGTAAAAAGGTTTAATTTCCACTAATTCATGGGCGCTTAAGAGCGAATTGATACCTTATTGAATTTGGATTGCATAGGTCTATTTTTTTAGAATCGCACTTATATAGGCGCGGTCATGAAACAGCAAACTCATATGTGGAGAGAAATTCTAACCTTCCAATATGCGGGCTTGCATCAAAATTGTGGCTTTGCATGAAAATGATGTGTACTTTTTGGTGTATTATTGCCAAAATGAGCGAAAGACTAAGCGAAGTGGCGTAGGGTGTGTGATGGTGGGCGTCGCCAGACTATAATGTTGTCACTTTTTTTTTCTAGATTATACATCATTCATTGCATTACTTTAAATATCCGCATTTATTAACCCCTAATCGGAAAATATATAAGGCCCGTGGTAAATTTAAGAAGCAGATCGATCAAAACATGTAATGATTCTACAAACAAAAAAAAAAGGTTTACTTTCCTGGTTTTGGTTAAGAAATGAAAAAGTGACTTTCCATGCGTACTTTATGTACAGTGTTACATTTAAGTCCTGGAATTCATTTGATTTACGATGCGCGGTTTAATTGCCGCGAAGTGAAAGAAAAAAATAAATCATGGAGCAAAGTTAGATAGGTCAAGCATTCATACAAATGTTAGAGATGTTGTTATGCTCTCTCATTTACTTTCCTTACGTTATAGGTGTCGTCTGAAAAAGAGATGAAACTTTTGTATTAAAATTACGATGGCTCAATTTGCATCATATCCTTGTTGGATGAACTTTATTGCTAATGATACGAGATATTAGCCTTTGACCCGTACTAAAGTTCAACAAAATGTAATTTCAACCGTGCATTCAGCTGGTGTGTTACACCAGTCAGTATACCACCGATCAAAAGAGAAAAGAAAAAAGAAGCAAAGACCTGAAATGTACACAAAAACAACCACTCAAGGTCTTAAGTTCTTTACGTATGTAGAACTAACTAAAGACGATAATAATGTTTCGTTGATGACACGTTTAAATAATTGGCGAAACAAGTTTCTTTTCTTTCTTATATGTGTATGTGCGTGTGCATGTATGTATTTATGCATATATATTCATAAATGTTTACAATCAAACACCATAAAAAGGACATATTATATAAGCGAACAATATGTAAACATACGTGTGTGCGTGTTGCGCTATGTAAAAATATTAAAATAAAGCAATAAATATTTTAAAAGTTTTTCTGGACTCTGTAAGAGAAAAAGAAAAAGAAGAAGAAGGTCTCTTTTGTATAATTGTTTATTTATTATTAATACCATAAAACTTGGAGTTAAACAAGTTAAACAAAAGTAACTTTCAAAGTTATCGGTTGCGTTATAACAGTGGTGATATAAGTAGAGACGCGGATGATCGAAGTGGACCTGGAAGACATATTTTATTTTTTCATTTCAAAAAAAGGCAACAACATTATAGTCGACCATTAAATACCCTACACCACACGGTATGTAATACAATTCTTATTTTTCCACGAAAGTATTGTTATGGGTCAATTTCCAACACCACATATTAAAACTTCGACTTTTCTGCTCTACAAAGGATCAATTTTCGTGAAAATCCTTATTAGGTTAGAATCCAAAAAATAGGCCGATATGGTCCAAATTTGGGATAGTTAATTTTTTTATATAAAATTGGTATTGTGATATAACTTCCATCATGAAGCATTGAAAATTATACCTTTTTGTCGTATGAACTTCAGTTTTCCTTATATGAGAGGAGGTTCAAAAATTGACACACCCTGTACAAAGTTTTCATGCTAATTTAGAATGTCAAAATACTACTTATTAGTCACTTTCGTAGAGAAATTTTGAAAATTGCTTCTTTTTTTTTGCAAATAAGGCATTATATGGGGAGTCGTCGAAAAAGTGAACCGATTTTGGCCATTTTCGATACCGTACGCCCTTGCGTCAAAATAGGCCGCAGCACCAAATTTCATCAAAATATGTTAAAAATCGCGTAGGTTTCTTGAACACAAATTTACGTGGATAGGTTTCAGACAGACAGACAAGCTTACAACGATTCAGAATCATAATCGAAAGTGAGTCTGTCTTAAGCCCTTCTGGGTGTTACATACGTCCGCACTAACTTCATATGCAATGTACCACAAGTGGTGTAGGATATAAAGATGACCAAAGTACACGGAAACACTCAATGCAAATTTCTCTGGATAAAACTTGAAGGTTACAAAACGAAGACTCTGAACCCCTTATTTGTGCGTACAATAATTATAGAATTGTACTGAAAATTCAGAGAATCTCGCAATCTCCAACTTATTTGAAATACATTATTTTCTTCGCGGTATGGCCATATGTATGTATATTATATATTAGTTAAATTAAACAATTTTATGATACAATGTGTTTAAACATTTCAAACAAAGAGAGTAACAGTGAAGGGATTTTCTTTTCTTCTTTTTTTACGATTACAATGTATGTGTATGTGTTTTATTAGGTTTAGTATTTATTTGAAAAAAAAAAAATAAAAAAAATAAAAAATGAATAAATAAATAAAGTAGAAGATATGGAATTTATATAGCGCATATGAAATCTTTCGTGCTGGCAATAATGCTCATCTCAAGCAGCTGTCTTCTTTTTATCAAAATTTACTGGATTAACAATATTACCAATTTTTTGTGCTCTGTTGCTGCTGTCTGTCAGTCCAAGCTTGCAATCAATTTTATGGAAATAACTGTAGAAAGGACAGTACTTAACTGACAATCACTACATATCTGCCTCTTAAGCAAGGACAACGGCATCAGCAATTGTTTCCAAAGATCATCTGCACTGGCGCCATAATTTATATAATGCAAAAAATCAACAAATAATATAAGTCATCACGCTACTGGATATATTGCTCTTATAGTCAACAATCCATTCATCTAAACAAAACAAA